GTACGTAAGTACGGACGTACGTACTACGTACGTACGTACGTATACGTACGTACGTACGTACGAGACGAGAGTAGAGAGAGACGAGAGAGAGAGAGAGAGAGAGAGAGAGAGAGATTATCCATCTGTTGTATTTATTAAGCAGTTTTACATTCCAAAATGTTTATGAGCTATTTATTACCTTGAAGTATCATAGAATGGAACCGGTGAATGGATATAACTCATTGGTCTATTATTTGCTCAGATCTGCTGAAAGATTTGATCCTAGAGAGGTATCCTGGAATAGGATTCCAAGTATGACCTTTAAAAGGGGAAGCCACTCAATTGCTGTACTGAATGATAAAATGTGAGTGTTTTTTAGTGATCTCATGGTTACTGTTTGTAGAATGAATATATTTTTGAAAGTTTACTTGTTTCCCTACACTTTGTGTACTACTAAGCAATGGTTTTTTTATTGTTGCAGATATGCAATTGGTGGCTATGATGGACATAGTTTTGTATCTTATGTTGAAATATTTGACCCTCGTGCTGATGCTTGGATGATGGGGGAACTTATGACTGGTCCTAGAGGATATGCCACTGCCTCAGTGCTTGGCGATGCTATATTTGTCATCGGAGGTCTTGTACGGGAGAGACTTCAAATGACCGATACGGTTCTTCTCCCCTCCCCTTTTCTTTGTCTCTCTCTCTCACACACACACCCTATATTGAATGCTTAAACAACCTTTACTATATGTACACCACTCAATACAGTTTGAAACAGTATGCCTACTACGGGGTGGTTATAGCCATCCAATCTATGGGTTACACAGTGATGGAGAGGCCTATCTGGTGGGACCGCTCTCCCTCGGTCATCCTCCAATGCATTACTCGGACAATTGTACCCCTGCGGCTGTCCTGTTAATTGGATCGGATGGAGTGCTGTTATCATGATCAGTTGGACCACAAACACCATATTATAGTTGTTTCAAATCTAATATAAGTTGCATGCTTAACCTCCATTAGAATCTATTTCTCTCTCGCTTTCTCTCTACAATTGGTTCTGTTTCTATTTGACTCTCTCGCTCTCTCTGTCTCTCTCCCCCCCTGAGACCAGTGTTCATAAACTCGGCTAGTCCAACTCGGAACCGGGTACTGGCCGATTTGGTTTTGGCCAGTTTTAGTAATCCGGCCGATACATAAAAAAATTAAAAAATAAATAAAATCTCAAAAAATTAAGGGATTTGTTTGTAATGTGTTTTTTAATGTTTTTTTATCATTTTGGAAAAGATTGGAAAGTGTTTTGGCCATGAATACTTATATTTACATTTTCCCATTTTTTGAAAAATTTGAAAAATACTCTTGGGCACAAATCGATTTTTTTAAAATTCATTTTTTTCACTACTTTTCAACTTCATTTGGATGTGGTTTGGTTAATCATGCTTATAACTATATTTTTTATACTTTTTTTGGATTTTTTAATGTTTTTTATTTATAATACTTTTTAAACTGGCTAGGATCTGCCCGGTTAGGCCGGTTGAACCGACCGGTTTATCAATTACTCAGACCCGACCCTTGGCCAGTTCAATTTTCCGAACACTGCCTGAGACAAACAATTACTGCATGTTGAAAAAGTCTTGATATGTTTTTATGTTGTGTGATATTGCAGGTTGAGTGCTATCGAGAAGGTGCAGGTTGGACAAATTTCGTGTCGAAAGCCATTGGAAGGCGATGCTTTCAATCAGCAGTGATTTTGTAGGGTGTACAGATGAGATTTTGAATAGCATCACTCGGGGGTAATAGAAAAGGTTTGGATGGGAGGGAGTTTCATGATTTTTAGGACCGGCCTTTTGTTAAATTGGATTTGCCTCTTTTAATCTGGCCCTCATTTCTCGTTTACGTTAGAGTTTCTGGTTTCTATTCAGGTTCTTGTCAGTGTGTCTTTGTAAGCTTCTGTTAACTTGCAGTAGAAGGTACGTTTCAAGTTTTAACCTCTTTTCTTATAGGTAGAAATAATATTTTGAAAATTGTTTCACATGGGCTAGACCGCATGACTACATATGCAGTCCAAAAAGTGTAAAGCATCAATCTTATAGGTAGAAATAATATTTTGAAAATTGTTTCACACGGGCTAGACCGCATGACTATATATGCAGTCCAAAAAGTGTAAAGCATCAATCTTAAAGATGGATGCAAGTTGGTGTTCCATCTAAAAACAATGGAAACCAGCCATCCAAATGTTTTCTTACAAGAATTATTATTATTTTTTGATAAATTATTTTTAGCTTTACTTAATTTTTTCATATTCATGATCTCTATGTTAGAGATTACATGTCTTTAAAATTAAAGTTTAAAAATCAATCTCATAAATATGGTTATTAATAGGTCCGCATTTCTACGTATGCGGCTTGGTTGCATAGAAACTGGGTCCATAATATATTGTATGGATTCTATTATGCTATGTGGAAAGTGTAAAAGATGTGGTTGATACTCTTAACATCTGCATTATATATGGGTGCGGTTGAGGCCCTAAGCAATGTGGTTTCAATATTGGAAATCTTTGTGATAGCCTTACAATATATTTTTATTTTTAATTATAAAATTTAAAACTTTAAAAATAGTGTAGATCAAGCAAATCTATGAAAACTTGAACATCTTGAAAATTGACAGTCCAAAAATGCATTGCAAGATGTACTATTCCAAAACTTGAAATTCATTTTTTTTTAATGTCCATGTATCTTGATGTCGAGATATTTTATCATTATCATCATCAAAGCTTTTTTCTAACTAATTGGCATCGGCAACATGAATTGTATTATGCCATTTTGTTTTATTAAGGGTCATACTCTCGGTGAGGCTATATCTCTCTCAGTGAGGCCATATCTTCTCACTATTTCTAACCATGTCATTTTGGTCTTAGCCCTTGCTATTTTTTAACCTTCCAATTGAAGTAATTCGCACTTCCTAACATGTGTTATACTAGGTTTGCACCACATGGTCAGTCCAACTTAGTGTACTTTCTATTATCCTGAAAATCTTGAAATAGACAATCTAGATAATGTCTTAGAAGATTAACTATTTTTAGGATGAGAAATCCCCTTTTTTTTCATTGTTATGATTTTCGAGGTCGAGATGATCGATTTGAGGGCTTTCTAGCATAGGAACAACTTTATGTAATGGGTTTTTTAGGTGTATCTTACTTGTACAGTATAAGGTTGATACTTTATATAAATTACTTCTCTCTCTCTCTCTCTTTCTTTCTATATATATATATATATATATATATATAATAAGAAAAATTTATATAAGGTTGAGGCCCTAAATGATCAAAGTAAAACGTATCTCAAAAATTTACTAAAAAAAGTTGTTTCGATGTTGAGAATCCCTCAACCTGATCTTCTCGACCTTGAGGTACATGGGTGTAAAAAAAAAAGACTTCAAGCCTTGAAAATAGTGCATCTTATAATGCATAGTGCATCTTATAATGCACTATCTAGATGGTCAACTTTCAAAGTGTTTATAGATCTGCTTCATTGCATTATTTGTTTAGACTTGAAATTTTATAAATGAAAATAAGTTTTTATGCCATCATAAAGATTTTGGTAGTAAAATGTTGTCTTTCACCATTATATAAAGGTACACTTTACTTTGATTGTTTAGGGCCTAAACCTTGTGCAAACCACATCCATATAAACACACACACACAAGGTCATTATTATTTATAATCATTTGATGTCTAATTTGATAGCTTCATGTGTAACAAAGTTTAGGAAATTTTTTTTTTTTTTTAATTTGAGCTTGGTCAATAGAATAAATGTTGTAATCGAATTTCAAATCTAATGGTCAAGATTAATTTTTGACTACTTTGCAAACATAAACAATCCAATTTAGGCACACTTCCAAATTTGATCATAACAATTTTGGCACAAAAAATTCTTAGGAATATTTGAAAATATATTTTTATACATAATTATAAAATTTTAAAAATCCAAAAATGGTTAAAATCAAGTAGATCTATAAACATATGAAAATCTTGAAAAGGGACGGTCTAGATAATATTGTGAGATGTACTATTTATGGGATTCAATTTTTTTGTTTTTTTTTCATATTCATACATCTTGATGTCGAGATGACCAATTAGAGGGTTTTTCAATATTAAAAGAACCTTTTCTGATGGACTTTTGAGGTGCATCTTTAATTCTACATTTTAAGGTTACAACCTTATATAAAAAATTTCATATGCATATATATATATATATATGCAGTTTGTATACATATGCATCAGAGGTAAGGTGCACCTTCAAATTTTATCATTGTATATAATTTTGATGTAAAATGTTCATAGGAATACTCCAAAATTTATTTGTATATCTAATTATAAAATTTTAAATTTAAAAAATGATTAAAATCAAGTAGATCTATAAACATATGAAAATCTTGACAATGGACGATGTAGATAATATGGTGTAAAATGTACTTTGTCTGAGACTTAAAATCTTTTTTTCATGGTCATACATATCGATGTCAAGATGATCGATCAAAGGGTTTTTCAACATTAAAACTACATTTTTCGATGGATTTTTTAGGTGTATCCGTAGTTCTGCATCCTTATATATATATATATGAAAATACTTTCAAACGGTTATAGGAAAAAATGAACAGTGATTTCATCTACCCTCATCATTATCTAAACTTCATCGTACGGACACTATTGTCTAGTAGAATTTCAATTTTCATATTTTTTTTTACAAATCTAAATCACTTGAAATTTGGAGCTTGTGTATATCATAGTGAAGCGAACCTAATAAAAATATGAAAAAAATAATTCAAAAAATATAAATTGAACAAAAATACCCTAAAAAATTGTGGAAGATACTACAAAAAGCCTATAAGCGAAAATAAACAGTGATTTCGCCTACTCTCATCACCATCCAAATTTCATCGCACAGTCACAGTTGGTCGGTAGTATTTTAATTTTAATTTTGTTTTTACTAATCGGAATGAGTTGAAATTTAAAGCGTGTGTTCATAAAAAATAGCCAAATTTACGAAAAAATATCAAAAGAATATTTTACATGAAATAAATTGACCAAAATACCCTCTAAAAGTTTCAGGGGTATTTTGATCAATTGTGTTTTGTAAATTATTAGTTTTTTGTATTTTTATTAGGTGCATCTCACTAAGATGTACATACGCTTCAAATTTCAGATCATTTCGATTCGTAAAAAAAAAAATTTGAAAAATGAAACACTACTGGACAATCGCGACCGTGCGATGACCTTTTGAACGGTAATGAAGGTAGGTGAAAATCACTATTTCATTTTTCACCTATAGATATTTGGGGAAANACTTTTTTCCCATATAT